TCTTTCTCCTCTATGTAATTCTGGTACAAGGCTGAGTCGCTCGTACTCGCGCACGTGTGCGTACGTGTGTGTGTAATTTTTTGCAACTTTTTTTTTCGCAGGAGCGGTTATGAGAGTTCGATGACCACCGGCGCGCGGACCATCGACGCTACCATGGACTACCTGCAGACGTGCCTCATCTTTTACCTGCTGATCCTCTGCTTCTGCGGCGGACGCTCTATAGACATATGTGAGTAGACGTGTCAATCCGACTTAAGGAGACTGGTCTTGGTCGAGATAGCCTCGCACTGCCCTCGAATGCAGCCTGGATCTCTCAATCGACACTGACGACGGCCCGAGCGTCAGCGCGATCGCACGGCTGATTATTCACTTAACTAATAGCTAATATTTTACATAAAATCTCGATTATCGGAGATGTATTCGAGGATGTATGTATTTTTCATTCGAATCACCTGCCGTGAAATTTCATACTCGACGACTCGACCAAGCTACTCATCTTTTCTTAAATAATTTTGCCGCGTAAAAAATATGATATATATTTTTTTCAAAAAGCCGCGATACTGATGAATAATTATTATGATTACTCAAAATTATTATAATAATTATAATTTTAGATAATCGACTGATGATATAATAATGCAAAAATCGGGAAAATTGCATCATCAGAGATTAACTTAAGAACGCACAATTTCCGACATATAAAGAAAGCTTGGTTGGGTTGACCAAATGTCAAGTGAAATATAAACGAGCCAGAAATTCCGATTGTAGTTACCAGAATTCTGCTTAACTCAACAAGATTTCTAGTTAACCACAACTTGCAACTTTGTTCAGGTTAACTGGCAATCTTGTTAACGTGGATAGAATTCCGGTAACTTCAATCGGAATTTCTTGTTCGTTCGTACTTCACCAAATATTTGGTTCTTTCAACCAAACTTCTTCTTCCGTGAATCAATGACGTAAGAATCGATCCTCTTGTTGACGCAAAAAAAAGCGAAATCGGGATTTTGCGGGGAGTTTTGGTTGGACGTGTTAGAAATACGTGTTTACATCCCTCGGCTATAATTCTACCCCCTGGAGGAGGAGGAGTCGCGGGGGTGCACCACTTCCTCTTCCCCGTGCCCCCTTTTCACCCAATAAAAACAGCAAGGCATCCCAATGTAACCACTCTCTCTCTCTCTCTCTCTCTCTCTCTCTCTCTCTCTCTCTCTCTCTCTCTTGTGGCGAGAGAGGAAGAGCGTGCGCGTATACCGCATTGCCCTTTGGCGCGCATTAAACCTCGGGCTCGGTTTCTACTCGGCTTGGTTTCCATCCCATTGACTCCGAGCAGCCCGAGCCACCCTCGTGTCAGGTAAACAGGGCGAGAAACTTGCAAAGTATCCGCCAAGAGTTCCCAAGTCAGCCCCGGGAAAGGCTTTTAGGTACTCGTTCGTGAAATCGAGCTCGAAACTTACGTATACGGGACGTATTTCGCACCCGAAGAATTTCTCGAGCGACGCCGAAAGATGGATCCGTCGCGATAGTCTCTCCCTGTCTCGTTCTCTTCGATTCGACGAGCACACCCTGTCGTGTCTCCCTTTCACTCTCGAATCGACCAATATAGAGTTACACGCGTGACGTATACGCACCTGCTACGAGCGCTACGAAGTTGAAGTTTCCTTTGAAAAAGTAGACTTCAACCGCGCCCCGCGGGGTGAATAACTGTTCCAACGCCATCGACGGCGTGACATTGTGTTGACCCGCGGAAGTTGGCGCGAAAGATACCGCCGTGCAATGAAAGTTAAACGAGGTTCGCGGGGCGAACTCGCCGCTGATGAATCCTTGACAAGTTTGCCGTCGATATATAGTCTGCGCCGCGCGCGAGCAGCGCGCGCAGATAATCCGCTTACTTCTGAACGCGTGAAATATATGTATATCCGCGTGAGGCAGCCATTACGAATGCACGCGCTAATTCGGGAAAGTCGCAAAACGCGCGTTAACTTCCGACTCTTCGAGCCCTACGAGCCAGGCTACCGCGCGGCGTTCATAGCTCGACCTCAAAAGCCGATACTCTGCTACGTCGTCGTGCCCTTTGATCCCCGCTTCCGCTCCGTGGTGCACCTGCGAGCCAACGTACCCTGCCGTTATAATCCCCGGCAGCGACTACGTGGCGCAGTTCCCTAATTAAATCCCACCTGGCTATCAAAACAGCCCGACGTAATACCTCGAAATAACAAGCTCTCGAAATCGCGCCGATCCGGGCCGACGAGATTATCTGTCGAAAAGAATCCTGGTCGTTCCTGTCGGGGGCGAAAGCCAACGAGCGCGTTTCAGCTTTCGGCACACTCGAGAGTGACGGTCTGTCGATCAGCCCTCGAAATACCATCAAAATTCGTCCAATTTTAGTTTTCGAATTTCTATCTTGAGCAATTTTAGTTTCTGTATATTTATTTTAAATAATTTCGCTTTAACGTGTGAGACTTTCGCGATAGGGAGAAACGCCAAGCTTGATTTCTTGATTAGAGAAAGAAAGAAAGAGAGAGAGAGAGAAAGCCAAGGAAAATATTGAGCACTTAACTCAGTAGGACTGTAATAAATGAAATGTCTAACGACTCTAGTTACTTTTAGTTTTCACTTAATTGCTTTCTTCCGTACTCAATTTAAACACATTTATTTAGAGGAGTGGGCCTTACTTCCATGTATCCTAGTATATTCATGGATACGGATGCTATGGATTAATATTGGCGCATAAAAGAACAATTCTTCAAGAACAAGGATTGGATCTGAGTTGGTCTAAATGTATAAATTTCATGCGACAACTAATCCCATCTCTCCCGAGGTCGCTCGATCGCGCTTCCAAACGCGGGGAAACCGCGCAAGACCGGAAGCAAAGTTTCTCGAGGAACTTAGGGGGTGGCGTGGATGGTGGTCCCTCCGGGAGGAGGTGGCGCGTCGGTGAGCAGCGTCGAAATTTATAAATAGCTACGGACGAAAGGCGACCGAGGAGGGAGACGACGCCGTGGCCCCCCCGCAGCGACTGAACTTGTACATCGGGACTGCGTTGGTGAATTCGCGGTCGTGTTAAGCGAGCTCACGGAGGGCCGACCGGTTAAAGCGCGCATAAATTGCGATGTTAATGTTGCCGGCGATACATAAACATGTTGCACGTCGGTCGGATTGCGGTGTCCGCGCTGCGCTGCATTGCGCTGCGTTGCGCTGCGTTACCTACCCTCTCTAGGCGCGCGCGAGCCGAAGGGGTGTGTTTGCCTTCGTATGTCCGAGGGCGAGAGTAAGCGATGGTGCGCGCGCGATGGCAGGACGACGCGTGCCCTCCCCCTTTGAAACGCAGGAGAACTGTGTTTCAGGCGCGCGCGCGCGTGTGTGTGCGTGTGTGATGCATGTTTGTGCGTGTGTGTGTGCTCGTGTGTATTTCGCTGTTGCGTACCTAATTGCAAAACGATGCGGCCTGTATGGGTGACTGAGTGCGTGCGTGCGTGCGCGTCGCAGTCGCGCGGAGCGATAGGTAATTGTACGGATGTGTCATCCGGTGGGGACGTGTGTATCTGACGTAGCGAAATTTAATGCACGCGACGCATGGGGGACGGCGATCGTTTTTTCCGCGTTTCGCACGGAACACGCTGTGAACGGCGAATACGATGACGTGGTCGGAGCGCGAGTGAATGCGAAGATGCTGGAGCACGTCGGGAGGGGCAAGTTGTCACGCCAATTTCCAGCACAATTTTTGGAAAGCAAATTGAAATTTACGCGACTGAAATTATAGAAATGAAATACTTCTTCATTCTTCTTCGTTAAAATGTTTGTAACGACGTAAAGATATGGCAAAGGGACAAAACTGATTTCTGATATCTTTGAAACGCATGTATTTTCCTTTCATCCTATCATTTCCTATCATTTCCTGACTACTTTGAACTATAGGAGAATAAAATAACGCGATTAGAATGATATAAACAAAGTATTTCTTTGTTTCTCTACATCCAAAGAACAATGCTGTAAAAGACCCAAAATTTGTTCGTAAGGGAAATGTATGAAAATCTACATTTATATTTTTGGGTCCGCTGAACTCGAATATGAAACTTAAAATAATCTAAATTCCGGGGAACTGTGTAAAAATGCAGTTGATTAAAAATACATTCATTAAAAGGTATTTGCTGAAACACGAAGCTTCTCTGTAGAGAAACTGCAATTTTACAAAGTTCCCTAAGATTTGGACAATTTGAAGCCTCATATTCGAGCTCAGCGGGCCCAAAAATATAAAGATAGATTCATACATTTTCCTTACAGCCAAATTTTCGCTCTGTTCAGCATTGTCCTTTGTCTGCAAAAATTCCCCGTGTAGACGCGAACATGCGGCTGCATCAACTCACGGCTGTCGCGCCGGATAAATAACGTACGTGATCTCAATCAGTCGCGATTATGCGCGGATGCGTTAATTGCGCCGTGTTAACTATGACGCGTATGCGCCAGCCAACAAAACGGACGTGCACACGCGACGTATGCGTAATGGTAAACTCGAAAGCGTCACGCGCTCGCGTGTGTCCCGTCGCGCGGATCGAAAGCGCGCAGACGGTAGAAACGTCGGATAGGAGAGAAGCGTCACGCGAGAATGAGAGAATCCTTCCGCCGTTATGACATTGTCATCCCTCCACGTTATATCCCTCGTCCTCGATCCTCGTCGTGCCTGCCTGTCTCTCTCTCTCTCTCTCTCTCTCTCTCTCTTTCTCTTTCTGCCTGCTTGTCTGGTTGTATGCCTACCTACCACCTTTCTACCTACCTACTTACCTACCTACCTAACTAACTACTCACCTACCTATTTGTCTGTCTTATATCTTGTGTCTACCTACCTACCTACTTGTCTCCCTGTCCGCTTACCTACCTGATTCTTTGGTAGGTTACTTGGTTGGTTGGTTGGCTAGTTGGTTAGTTGTTTGATTGGTTAGCTGGTCGACTGGCTGACTAGCTAGCTAGCTGACTGACTGTTAGCTTACTAGCCGATTGGTAGGTTGGTTGGTGGATTGGTTGGTCGGTTGATTGGCTGGTGAGTTAATTGATTGGTTGGTTGATTGGCTTTGGTTAATTAGTTCGCCAGCTAAACGAACGTAACACAACTGAACGAACGAACTTGCAAGTGCAAATAACGTTCGACGCCCCGCGCGTACGGTCAACCGCGGCGAGAGGGCGAATAGAGCGAATGTCTTTTCGAGAAAGAGCTTAAAGCCGAAAAACTAACTTCACGAAAAGCCGTCCAAGAGAGAGAGAAAGAGAGAGGGGATACGTATATACATATATATGTATATATGTATAGTATGTAGGGAGAGAGAGAAAGAGGGGGGAGGGAGACAGTCAGACAGAAAGAGAGAGTGAGTAAGCGAACGGGCGGCCGAGCGAGCAAGCGAGCGAGTGAGTGAGCGAGCGAGCGAACGGGCAGGCACCTCGTAGCGCTATATTCAGGGCACATGGGATCATCCGGGCCTATCTCAAGATGAACGGTGATTTCGGTAACGACCATCCGTCCCATACGACGTATCACGCCACATTGTCATCGTCATGCGGTATTACACGCAATCGAGTTCGGAGTGTAGTCGTGTCTTGTCATCGCGCCACTACTTCCTTGTCTCCGCGAGAGCAGAGCTTTTCTCCACGCCTTCACGCCTCGTGTCGCGGGTCGCGCGAGCGTGCGCCGCGGCGCGCCAGCCGATCGTCGTCGTCCTCGTCGTCGTCGTGTCGCCGCGCCGCTCTCGCCCGGCTGGAGGAGAGCGGCTCGCCGTGGTGGTCGCTGCTGTCGTGTCCCGACCGCGCGCTATATTTGGCCGATAACGTGCCGCGCGCGCTCCAACATATTGCGCGTCCTGCCGTGCGAGAATCCTCGCTTGGCGCACCGCGAGCCTCGCCGAGCGGGCCCCGTGGTGGCACGCAGTCCGCAGCTCCGTCGCCGAGAACCGTCGCGGGTGTTTCAGCGTGTGCGCGAGCCAACGTCGTCACGTCGGCCGTGAGCGCCGATCCGTGCGTCGTCCTCGCGACCGAACGCCGTCGACGTTGCGTCTGTCGGGATCGCGCCTGCCTGTTCTCACCAAGTGCCGCGTAACCTGATCAAATATCACACGCGCGCGCGCGGGCCCGACGACGACGACCCCGCCGGTCGCCTTATCATCAAACGTTATTGTCATTGTCATTGTGGTGTTTCGCGAGAGTCAGCCGACGTTGCACCTGAGGCACCGCAAGTGTAACGTCGCTGCTGGTGCCGATACATCGTATCGTGTATCGTGATCAGACAGGGTGTCGTGTCCCAGTCGTCGTTGTTCCACGAGTTGGGCATTCTGTAGGATGACTGGTGTTTATTCAGCGAGCAGACTGTGAAATAGTTGCGATATCCTGTACATTTATTCGACACAATTGAGTTCACGACATTACAACGACCACCTGGTTTGTATAATGCTGTGTTTGAACATCAGCCAAGTCAGTCGAGAGTCAGTCGTTATTGAAGTAAGACACACTGTTAAAATTCTGGGAAACCATGTTCAATATTTAATAACTGCACACATATCATTGTGTCAGATACACAACAGTCTGAGATTGAACATAGAACGAGAGAAAGAGATAGAGAGAAAGAGAGAAAGAGCGATGCTTCTGCAAGTCGACCAGCTCTGTTGTCTTCGGTCTCATTACTCAGCCATGCTGCCTTATAAGACAGTGGTCTTGCAGAATACCTGATTATGTCGTGGAACAAGCAATTGTCTTGATAACACATGCATGATATGTTCCATCAGATTCGCCATAATCTCAAACATTCGTTTGGCCTTTTTCAGGATACGTGTACATGAATGGGGACATTGGTAAGCTCCCACCAGGGGCGGTCTACCCAGCCACCCCTGAGCCTCTGGGTCCGGTTGCAGGCGCGATCGGCGGTGGAGTGTCTAGTTTAGAGTACGGAGTCATGAACGGTGCGCCCAGCGGAAGTGAGTTGATTCTCGATGCAGGTGTTGGCAGCCTGGAGGCAACGTCGCAACACGCCATAAGCATTGGCGGTGCTGTCGGATACGGTCCAGTGGATGTTGCTGCTCTGGGTGATGCGTCCGCTTCAGCCGCATCAATGGCCGATTTATCTGTCCCTGGCATACCCCTGGAACAACTCAAACAGATGCTCTCTTCGCAACTCGAGTATTATTTCTCCAGGTATCGCAAGCCACTCTCTGTGTCCTTGAATCTGCTGCGCGACTCCATCTTTCTGTAATCGTCGAGCTGCAAGGTGGCGGCTCGCTAACACGTTTACATTTCCACCACTCCACACTTGCCTCCTACGAGGGTATCGACCAAGTCACTGCAGTCCGTAGCGTATTATAAATGATTTTAGCGATCCGAGCGCAAAGAGTTCGTACTGTTTGTTAACTTGGCATCATTACAGCAACTGTTGCAACTTCTAATTGAGTAGTGAATGAGAAAAAGATTTGGTTGAATGTAATCTACTGCAAATGCGCGGCCATCATGCAAATTGCACGAGCGCGTGTATGTATACGTACAACGTCATTTACGCCTTCGAGTTTAGGCACGTTCGGAGCGTATTCATCGTGTTTAGATATTCACACCGTGACGCTGCGCGATACGTCTGATAATTTGACACTTGTTTTGTGCATCGGTGCGCGTGTCTGTTGTGTGTG